AACCAAGCATTAGACATCAAACAACACCAACTTATACACCACGGCTGAATGGTGTAGCTGAGAGAAAGAATCAAACGATTCTTGACATGGCAAGAAGTCTACTCAAAGCAAAAAAACTACCTAAACAATATTGGGCTGAAGTTGTATCATGTGTAGTGTATCTACTGAATCGCTACCCAACTAGAAGTTTGCAAGCTGTCACTTCATAAGAAGCATGAAGTGGTCACAAACCAAGTGTTACTCATCTTTGAGTCTTTGATTGTATGGCATATGTAAAGATCCCAGATGCAAGAAGGATCAAACTCAATGATAAAAGTGAGAAATGCATCTTTGTCGGATACAATGATAGAAGGATGGGATACAAGCTGTATAATCCCATCACAAAGAAGGTAATTATGAGTAGAGATATTATCTTTGAAGAAGATAAAACTTGACAATGGAATGCTGACTAAGAAACAATCAAATAGATCAGCACTGATTTGATCCTTTAAGATGAAGAAGTACCAACAGTACTTGCAGAAGGTCCGATATTATCAGCAGATGAGCCACAAAGTTCAAACATAGATTCCCTGTATTCAACAGGAGAAACACATCAGAATTATCATCAACACCATTATCAGCATCCTTATTAGATGGACCAAAAAGGATGAAAAATCTAGAAGAGCTATATGATGCCACTCAAATCATGAAAGATACAACTCTATTTTGTTTTTTTGCAGATAATAACCTATTTAGCTTTAATGAAGCTATCACAGAAAAGATTTTTGCAGATAATGACCTATTTAACTTTAATGAAGCTATCACAGAAAAGAAATGGATAGAAGCAATGGATGAAGAAATACATGCCATTAAGAAGAATGATACCTGAAAGTTGACTTATCTACTAGAAAACAAGAAAGCAATAGGTGTCAAATGGATTTATAAGAAAAAGAAGAATGCAAAAGAAGAAGTGCAAAGATACAAAGCAAGATTAGTGGTAAAAGGCTACACACAATGAAAAGGCATTGACTATGGAGGAGTATTTGCTCCAGTAACCCGGCTAGAGACAATCAGACTGATGATCTCACTGGTTGTACAACATAGATGGAAGATCTATCAACTCGATATGAAGTCAGCATTTCTGAATGGCTTCCTAGAAGAAGAGATCTATGTTGAACAACCACTTGGATATATTGAAACTGAAAATGAAGGCAAAATATATAAGTTGAAGAAAGCCCTTTACGGTTTGAAGCAAGCTTCACATGCTTGGAATACTAGAATTGACAGGTATTTTCAAGATAATGGATTTGAAAAATGTCCATATGAACACACAATATATGTGAAGAAAAAAAACAGATGACATCATATTATTTGCGTGCTTATATGTTGATGACTTGATATTCACCTGCAACAAACCTACCATGTTTGAAGACTTTAAGAAAAGCATGGTACATGAGTTTGAGATGACAAACATTGGTCTGATGACACATTTTCTTAGCTTATAAGTGGTGTAGAAAGAAGAAGGGATTTTTGTATCCCAAAGCAGTTATGCCAAAGATATTCTTGCAAGGTTCAAGATGAAAAGTTGCAATCTGGTATCAACTCCAGTTGAGAATGGAGTGGAATTGAAGAAGAGTAAAGTTGAAAATATTGATCCAACTTACTTTAAAAACTTAGTAGGAAGTTTAAGGTACTAGATCAGAGCAGATATATGAAGACACTAGACCAGTCTCACTTAAATGTAGTCAAAAGAATTCTTTGCTACATCAAAGGCATAATAAATAAAGGTATGTTTTATACCTCAAGTAAAAACTTCAATCTTGTTGGCTACTTGAATAGTGATTGGGATAGAGATCTAGATGAAAGGAAAAACACAACAGAGTTTGTCTTTTTCATGGGAGATATATCTTTCACATGGTCATCCAGAAAGCAATCGATAGTAACATTATCAAGCTGTGAAGCTGAGTATGTTGTTGTCAACTAACTATATGCCATTTAATATGGTCAAGGAATATGTTGAAGTTTTTGGGATTTCCTCAAGAAAATCCTACAGAGATATATATTGATAATCGATCAGCGATTGCATTGGCAAAGAACCCGATGTATCATGAAAGAAGTAAACACATTGATACACATCATCACTTTATCCAATAGTATGTAAAGAATAAAGAAGTCGAACTAATATACTGCAAAATAAATAATCAAGTTGTAGATATTTTTACAAAGCTATTAAAAAGAGAAATCTTTATCAGATTGAAGTTCATGCTTTGCATGACACCTCTTGATTGAGTTTAAAAGGGAGATTTGTTGTATTAAACTCAATCTAGAAGGTCAAAGAAGGCAACCACTAGCTGTCACCGCCCAACTACCAGCCACCAGCCACCAACTATATGTCGCCAGTCGCCTTTACACTTAAAGTTTGATTTTTTTTTACTTTTAATTTGTGTATAAATAAGCAGTTAAGATATACAATTATGCGTGGAAAGATTTGAGAGAAACACTACAAAGAAAAAAAGTAAGAGAAGGCGTGTATTGAGCTTTTGTTTAATTAATTGTAAGCTTTTGTTCTTGAAATAAAATAATATATTTTATCCCCTTTGAGTATTTTAAAATCACCACTAGTGGTTTCTCCCACCAACAGCTATTACATGGGTACCAATAGATTTTAGATTTTTTTTTAATTTACCAGTCAATTCTTTTTAATTATCTCTGCAATTTCAATCGAATATGTTTATGTAATCTCCATCTCTTCTGTCCTTGGAATGAGATGTATGTCGTATTCCATCGTAAACTTGAAGCAATTACAGAAATATTTGAACACAAACAGATTTAATAGGGCCCTTCAACAGTCGATCATTCAACCATTTTCGACAGATTTCATTTCTTATCATACACTACTTTGTAAGCATTGAACATGCTTGAAACTTTTATCACTAGCATATATAAAACAGGTCAAGTGCTGCTTCAAAGAGAAATAACTGTTAAAAAAGACTTCTTCCAAGTACCACCCCAGAAACTATATACATTGTCTAAACACTTCGCGAAATTTCTGATGCTGCAATGCAATTTACACATGCAAAACGTAAGCTGAACTAAGCTGTGCCAATTCTGCATTAACGAAGTTTATATGACGTCAAATAAGTTGCACCCTGTAGACCAGATCTCGGCTGCACTGAGGAGGTTGTGATTAACCTGAAGTCTGTGCACCTCTTGTATCGACACTCATGCAAATTCCAACATCTCCCAAATAGAGCTGGTTTAAAATGCACGGATCACCATTGCTAGAAAAGACATGATTGATAACTTTCTGCTACATTTCTGAATCTTCAACTTCAGTTTTTGACACGAAGCTGGGAAACGCCAAAGTTAAATCCCTGGAGGGGAAAAAAAAGAGGAGTGCGTAGAGTTAATAACTTGAATTTCGGAGCTACATTCTAGACTGATCGTACTATAGTAACCAGGTTGTGAACAATTCACAAACTGAGTGAACTTGTTACTCACTTTAAATGAGGTAGAGTCATGTTCTTTATAAGAGAAGGGTTCTTCGACACAAATTCCTTCCACTCGTCAGGATCGATTTTTCCATCACCTTTCAAATCTGCATCACGAAATGTCTGTGGAAAAACTCAAGAAAAAAATTAGAATAATGAACCGAATAAGCATGAACAAGGAAGTTTGACACAGAAAAAAGAAATTGTACCTTGTCGACAATTTTTTCAACAAAGTCATCGGACAGCAGTAGATCAGATTCATGCAGAAGTGCCATTACCATCTCCTTCAACTGTTAAATAACTTGAAATTATGAGCCAGAATTCACATTCGGAAACAGATATACAATGCTGGATCATTATTTTGATTTTTCATTACATTCCTCTTAATTCTCTGATGGTATATATTGTCATACTATAGCCACTTCTGGATTAGTAATGGGGAATTTTTAACAGAAAGAACAAAACAATAAACCTAAAACATGTCCACAATCATCAGCATGCATCACTATATGGTATGTAAAAGAGAAATGGTATAGAAATGAATTGCAGTACTCGCCTCTTCTCGTTCAATGAAACCAGTTCGCCGTAAATCATATAATCTGAAAGCAACTACAGAAACTTCTCCGCTCATTAGTAATTTATTCAGTAGCATGTGCAAAAAATGGTTGAGTGACTAACTTCCAGTTTTTATGGTGTATAGAAGTCCCAATTGACATGCAAAAGAAAACATGTGTGTGAGAACTCATTCCTACTTGTATTTCATCCTAGACAAACATTATCCGTACAATGGATCTTGTCTTCAACTGGTGCATTTGGATGAAAGACACCCAAAGATCGAACAAATTCTCCGAACTCAATTACTCCATTGCGCTTGACATCAAATAAATAAAAAGTCTGCAGAAGTATGGCAAGGCGAAGCAACTTAGGAAAAAGGGAAAATGCCATGGAATCAGGTAACTATTGCTATATTATTGGAAAAAGGTTGCACTACATACCCTGTCTGCAAAAAGGTTCCTCTTGTTTTTGTTCCTGAATAGTGCAAGCTGAAGTTCTTCCTGATGAGAAGAAAGAGCCATTTGAATGATATCAGCACAAATTAATTAAGTCCTAATTGCAAACATACTTAGATCAAAATACTCCATAAACCACTTCAAATCCCACCGAATACCCTTACCTTGTGAATAAGCCCATCATCAATGACTGAACTGCTTAGTTTCTTAAAGAGTTCATACAAGGCCTCTACTTCGCTAACTGTAACTGCAATACAAAATTATTTCACATTTCATCAGTCAGCTCACACAGTTAACAGTTGTTTTTGAACTTGATACCAAATAATATTTTTAGCAGGAAATACAACCAAAATAGGCGGGCAGTAACTAGCTGAAACTCAAACTAGTGATTAGGAACAGCATCATTGTTTTTCTTTCTTTCCTTTTCCCTGACAACATGACTTCCATGCTTCTTATGCCTTTCAGTGCCAATAAAATTGTCTTTTGTTTTAGTGACCAACCACACCGAAGGTTGGTGACACAAACCGTCCCATCTACTACACACTCCAACAAACTGAACTTCATGTCTGACAACTAGTTTAATCTGCACGATAGATTACCTACTAAGATGTCCTAAGATAAGACTAGAAACAACACTAGTCGAAAAATAGCTGGAACATATTGAAGCATAGCTAGGAATTAATAGGGGCAATTTACACCCAGGAATTTGCAACAATGAGCCTTTCGACAAAGCATACTCACAGGGTGTTTCAGCAGCAAGAACTGTTGGCTCCTCGTACCCAGGTGTCTTTTTAGTTCTCTTTGAATGGTAGCAACCCATGAAGACAACTAGCACCAGTCACTCATAAGAATTCTTGGCAATCAGAAGGATCATGCCAATTGTACTACTTTAAAACACCACCTAGTAATTCACAAAGTTATAGATTGAATTAATGACTGAGCTTGATTATGTGCTGTCTTTTACAAACTCGCAAAGATAAACGGTCAAATTTCAACCACTGAGACCAAGAACACAGAAGGAAGACAGAAATCTAGTCATGATGAGCTATAATTTCCCATCGAAATTTAAACTAATCCACTATTTCCAAGAAAGATTATTACAATGACAGTAGCTGGTAAAGGGAATAGACTCTAATCATCCAATAAACTAAGCATTTTTTGCAAATATAGGCACAAGCTGACATTATATTTAAAGCAGAACCGTACTATTTAGTCAACATGCAAATGCATCAGTTATTGTGGTTGCAGATATGTGCTTAAGTTTAATATTGACATGAAAGTTGCTCAACCATATCCAAGACGTCAGCTAATAATTAGTACACACTGACATCGGGCTTCAAAGATAAGCAAGGTTCTGTTAAGCAGTTCAAGATTCAACGGATTGATTTCAGAGGCCAGTTGATTCACAAATTATCGAAGTTCAGGACAAGAATGGTTATAACTATCATTGCAGCTATCTCTTCAGTAAAAAAAGAGGAAAAACTCATTATCGAATGAGAAGCATCAGCATAATACTATGAGAATTTGTATGATAGGTCTACCAAATACCACCTACATATTCTCCAACCTCACAGTCAGGCCACCAGTGAAGCCATGCAAGCGGCTGCCATTTAAACTAGACTTGTGACATACCAACAGTCTCTAATGCCCATGGACACTTTGAAAGCTGTCTCTGATACTCAAGAACATAAATTAATATGAAGCATGGAAGAAAATTCAGAACCATCCAACACCACAATGAATTTTGCAAATATTATGGTACCTGATACCAACAAAGCCTACAAGCGTGTATGACCTTTCCTTATTAAAAAATTAAAGATGATTTGGAAGGGAACTATCAAGTTGTAGATTAAGCAACAATAAACAAAACAAATAAATAAACTAGTAAACCACCCTTTCCCTCCACCATTCTAATAGACTTTTATCATATTTTATGAGGGAGAGGAGTTTCACTAAGCCTGACGATGCTATCCAAATTCCATTCCAATCATCTCCCAGCTTGGCTCGACAGCTCCGATTTTCGAGGCTCAAAAATCTTTCTACCAGAGGGAAAAAGATGCCACCAACTAAAAATTCATGATTGATACCGTAAGAAATGAATTCTAACATTTCAAATCCAACCTTTTCCTTTTATGTGATCAGTAAACTTATAGTTCAAGCACTATCTAGGGGTGAACATATCTTAGATAAGGGATGAAATACTCTAATTTTCTATTGTTTTCCATAAACAATGCAAGAAAACATTCAAAGTAAAAAAACCGATACATCACATGCTTATTTAAGTAAAACAATAATGTCTTCATTAGCTGGGACCACAGGCCTAGAACAGCCACATGACCTGGTTGAAAACGATCTAATCATTTCCAGGGGATGCAGAGTAATTATCCTTAGTTTTCTCAGCAACCACACCGTGGAAGTAATGGATCCGGTCAAAATGTGATTCATCTCTAAGTATATAGTTCAAAGAAAAATTTTTAGTGCTGAATTTAAAAGTCAGGTTATGACAATAAATATAGTCAATTCTCTCAAAAGAAAGGAATGAAGATTTCTGGATGCTCACTGAAAAAACCAAAAATGACAATGATAAATTCTTTCCATGATTCAAAACTTACAAACCCATAACCTACTGTTCCTGCTTGGTTGCTGAGAAAATGTAGGAATGGTCAAGAAACACCGACTCTAAAAGAAACAACCAGAAGAACTGCATTAACACACAGAAAATCCTCTTCCCTTCTCTCCCTTGACAAGCAGAAGAAAAACGAAAACACTGACAGCAAAGCAGAGAACCAACCAACCGAAATTCCATCAACTGCGTACAAGCCATGCAGCCAAGACAAACCATTTCCAGCCGAAGAAGTTGTGTAATGAAAGAGAGAATAGTACTAACCTTTGTGAGTGTCTTTTGTGCAACGTTGGAAAGTATGAGAGACAGCACTTTGATCTGTGCTTTTCAGCTGTCAGTTTTCTTTACATGAACAGTGTAAGATATCCAGGATCTTGCGTTTCTTGTGGCTTTAGCTTTTTCTCAGCTTCCCTCTCTCTCTTTATATGAGATTTCTGTCTCTATCAATCTATTATTAATTACTATTTTGTTTTCAACGTTCACTTTCAGGTCCCCATTTTACGTGCATTGCATCTTTAAAATAAGGGAAATGCATAATTTTAGAGAACATCTCAGGAAAAAAACTAAACTCCCTATGCAAATTCCGTGCTTTAATTGCCAACAATTTGCAGAGATCACACATAAATTTATGTCACCATCATATTAAAAGAAACCAAAACGGCAGAGGTTTTGCTGTAGTTATTTTACTGTAGCTTTATATTGGAACTGTAGACTGGATTATAAAATTATGATTTTGTCCTTATCAATAAATCATTATTGGTCTTGGCAGCGGGGTATAATCATCTTTTTGTTTATGTCTGCATAGCAAAAAGACTGATGTATCTTTTGAGGCTAAAAATAATGCACCAGCAGCGGGGCAGTATTCCTTCTCTATTTTAGAAGGAGAATACAATTATCAAAATACTCCTAACATCAAATTGCCTTATACTTGGATCAATGAGGAATTTTTTTGTTTTTTTTTTTTTATGATTTTGTTTGGTTTTGTTTTTTTTTTATTTATTATTGAGTCTAACTAGAGATATTTTAATATTTTAATATATATAAAACATTATTTAATTTTAAAATGTAAGTTGCGACAACTTGTGTTCTTTAAATGATAGATGTAATGTCGTTTGATGATTAAACTCCAACTTCCATGACAACATCTTAATCCTCATGGTGTCTCCTTCATTAATAGTTGGTGTGTGTGGCTAAAATATATCAAGTTTTGTATTGATGACTATTTTTTTCTTTCATCTCTCCTTTGAGATTTTAAAGTCTTTCCCTGTACATTTTCAAAGTAGCCCTTTGATTTTATTTTTCTCTCAGATTGGTCCTTGTTTTTTTATTACTATTTTTTATTTTAAATAATTCATAGAATTCAGATCCTCATTAGATTTTTTTTTCACTTTCATATTTAATCCCTATTTTTCTGATGAATTTTGATTTGTTAATCATTCTCTTAATTGAATTGTGTTTCCAATTATATCTCTCAATGTTTTATATAATTTTTGTAATTGAGTTATCTTTCCAATTGCATCTCTTGATATTTTATATAATTCTTTTAATTGAATTATTTTTTCAATTGTGTTCCTTAATGCTTTATCTTATTTTATTTTATATAAGATTAGGTCCTTATTCTTTTAATTGCTATTTATTTTATTTTATTTTGTTGATTTGTTCTTTTCGATGTGCATGATGTCAAGGTTATGGCGGAGCAGATTGGTCTTTCAATAAGGAAGCTCCCAAAAGATACTTCACTTTACCCAATTATGGGTCAAACCAAAACCAAGAAACTTTTCCTTACTTGATTGAAGGCCAAACACAATGTCACCGTACTCTGAGACAACATCATGCAATTCTTCACTAGAAAGACGCGGGGATGCAACATCTTTTTCAACTCTGCCAACAAAGAAATCTTTTCTATTCTTTCTGTACCTGTGATTAAGTGGCAAGAAGTGACAGTGACAGTAAAAAAAAAAGCTTTACCTCCATTTGCTAGCGTGAATGCCTTATTGTTTTCCATGCAGTATGGACATGAGAGTTTTTCATGCGTGCTCCAACCAGAAAGCATTCCATAAGCTGGAAAATCATTGATAGTCCACATCAAAGCCACCCTCATAAGGAAATTTTGTTTCCTCAATATATCATAAGTCAGAGCTTTGAAGGACCACAATTGCGCCAACTCATCAATCAACGGTCGAAGACAAACATCTATATTCCGCCCCGGGTTGCTTGGACCGGGTATGACAGTAGATAAAAACATGAACTCCGGCTCATACACATTCCCGGTGGCAAGTTATAAACTATGAGGATGACCGACCAACAAGAAAAAGGAGCAGCAAATGACCCAAATGGGTTGAATTCGTCTGTACACAACCTAAGACGCACATTCCTTGATTCAGCTAAAAAGTGAGGATGAACACTGTTAAAGCATTTCCACACTTCGCCGTTAGAAGGATGAACCATCACTCCATCAACCGCATGGTGTGTTTGGTGCCATGTCATGTGCTCAGCAGTACTTGGTGACATGAATAACCTCTATACTCTAGGTATGATCAGGAAGTATCTAAGTTTTTTATATGCCAATAGAGTATTTCCCCTACCAGTTCTAGGATTGTAACGGGAATGCCCGCATGTCATGCACTCGGTCATCTCAGCATTTTCAAGGTAGTATAACATGCAGAAGTTAGGGCACATGTCAATTTTCTGGTATCTTAAACCGAGGGGTTTCATCATGGACTTCGTAGCATAGAAGTTCTCTTTCAGCCTGTTCTCTTCAGGTAAAATGCTTCTTGCCCATTCAATAATCTTGTCATACCCGGCCTCACTCAACCCGTGCTCTGACTTGATGGTGAACACTTGTGCTACAACCGATAATTTACTGTGGTTCGTGTAGTCATCCCATAATGGTTCGTCAGAATCTTTCAACAAATCAAAAAACCTAGCTGCATCTACATTAGGTTCTTCTTCTATGATTGGACATTGAATGACATTACCTTGATTCATTCTCATTGCATCTATAACCATGTTTCTGTAAGGATTAGTGTTGTCATTCTCGTTGCTAGCACTAGAAGTAGACCCAACCATTGTTTCTTCCATTCTCCTCTCACTAACATATACTTCTCCATGTGCATACTAACACTGGTAATTCTCCATAAACCCTTTGTGTAGAAGATGCATCATTACAACATCTGGATGCAGATACTTTTTATTTTGACACTTCTTGCATAGACACTAATACTGCCTCCAGTAAAATTTTTA